CCGATAGGTCCGTGGACGGCCAGGATCCCAAAATTCTCACATTAGGAACTTTTATAAGTGTAGGGATTCCTCATGCCGCACCATAGTTCTTGCTCGGGACAACTCAGCTCCCCGACACTTGTCCCACACTAGTCCACGTCGGTACTTGTCCCGTCGGTGGTCCCATCGGCACATGTCCCAAAACACGCTTATTTTTACTCGGTCCCATGCGGTCACCAGCATCACTCCGCATGCCGTTCCAATTTTATTTGGGATTCCCTAGTCCCCGACAGTCCCAATTTCCTCCTCTTGACAGGTCGAAGCGTGCCCGATTATTTTTGGCCGCGTGATCTTGATCCCACGGTTGTCGTTCCACGCCGTTCTTTGCTCCTCGTGCTTGGGGGCCTCTTTTTCTAGTGGCTTGTGGTCGTCAAGGCTCTTTTTCTCATGGCCTTGGCACTCCCTTGTGGTACACTGCATTCCCTTTGGGTCTCTTCTCAGTTTCAAGGCCTAGGCGCCTCAAAATTGCGGCTCTCTTCGCCTTTTTCTAGTCCTTTTCATCATGGCTCCCAAGGCCCCTCATCTTTCAGGTTGCTCGTGGCCCGGCACTTGCTCGGGTGGCCCTGCTAGCACGTCTTCTGTGTCTCCTTGCTTGGTCCATGGCACTCCCTTGTGGTCACTGCATTCCCTTTGGGTCTCTTCTCGATTTCAAGGCCTAGGGGCCTCAAAATTGAGGCTCTCTTCCTCTTTTTCTAGTCCTTTTCTCATGGCTCTCAAGGCCACTCATCTTTCAGGTTGCTCGTGGCCCGACACTTGCTCGGCTGGCCCTGCTAGCCCATCTTTCGGGTCTCCTAGCTTGGTCCATGGCCCTTTGGCCCTCCTCATGCCGAATTCAGATGGCCTCCTTGGCCACATTCTATGTTCTCGTGTGTCCGCGTCACGACAGTATTTTCCTTGACGTCGTTGGCCCCCTTCTACCTGAGTATTATTTTCCCGGCGGTCCTCCTTGGATAACGAAGGCCGCCTTTACTAACTTCCTGCAGCACCTTGCTGCCCAGCATTCTATTCGGCTATTTCTGGCTCAGTGGCTCCAGCGGCCTTGGGCATCCTTCAGGGCCCTAGGCGCCGACGCTCCCGTTTTTATCCCTTCATCCTTTCCGCCTCTCTTGCTCCCTCTTCCCGGATTCCTCTGTAGTGCAAACTTTAGCCATACATTGTTTCTCAAGGGTCCGGACTTGATTCGGGAACCACAGGTCCCGACACCGGGCTGCAGGGGCGCAAGCGGATGATGGGCGAAGGTGGTCTTCGGGTAGCAGCCGAATGAGTGGGCAGTCAATGTTTGATGAGGGGAGGAGAGAGAACATACCTGGTGTACGTGAGAGGTCGGCATTGGCGTTGACGTCATGTACATTGGTCTTCAACTTCGGAGTGATCCTGTTGCAAGAATGTAGATAGGCTAGATAGACTCTGTAGAGTAGGCCGGGCGCTGGGGGCCAGACATAGATGAGCGACATTGGATACTGTGTTGGTAAGGCCTGAGGGCGATAACACTGGCGCACGAGTCCACTGCTTCGCTTATATTTGGATGGAATCTTGGCGTATTTAAGCTCTCTGCCTGGAACATGACTATCTGGACATCTGTGTGATTTTTTCATATTCCTTGCATTAACCAGAAATTAGTAAATTACCAGAAAACCGGATGTTTGGATCAAACCGGGCATTGCAATGTCCGGTGTCCAGACTTGTCCAGTTTGGTTGTCTGCCGCTGCAATGATACATACATGACAAAGGATTTACAACGCCGAATGTTATGTCTTCCTATACACGTCAAACATTGCCCTTGCGAGGTGACAATTTACAAGTCTCAAGCATCTTCAATGCAGCACTTCATGAAACAAACGAGGAGAGCAGCAGGAAAGATTAGGCACACAAAGTGTTCTGTTTGCCTTTTCTGAGCTTTTTCTCGTTTTTATTTCTTTCTTCCTCGTGGCTTTATTCATGCGTGTGCGTTTGCACATTCGTGTCCCATACACCTGTCTACCACAACAGCAAACTTGCATGCTATAAACAAGTCAACAGAGTAAAGGAAGAGACAATAGGGGAACAAGGGGGCGAGGGAGAAGGAAGATGGACCACTGAAGGACTAACACACAGTTAGGAGTGTGCACTTTGATGCGAATTCTATTTGTAGTTTGGGAGTTCTTTTGCTCAGATAGTTCACCAAAGATATGATAATTGGTTGAGGAAATCATTTCCGGGCCATTGCTTTTCTTCTGGCCAGGATTTGAAGGTTAGTTTTTACAGATGGGATACTATTCCATTGGATAGCACGGTAACATCATACCCTGCTTTCAATGACACAAGTAAACACGCTGTGTGAACGACTGCTTTCCCTGTTCATGCTCGTCTGACCGACTTTTCGGTTGGATGATCCCTAAGGCCAAGCAGCCATACAATCACACAAACAAAACACATTGGCAATAACCACAGTTATACATCAGCTGCCATTAGAACTCGTTACCAGGAAGACCTTATCAGACTTTATCAGCCCACCAGGCAGTCAGACTTCGGTCGAAAACGATGGAAAAAAGAGTTCATCACTCCCACAAGTGACTTCCACCCAGCCAGCATCCAATGCTTCATCCAGAACCAGAGATGAAAGATATTTGCTTGCAATACAATACCATCACAAACACAAGGGAGGTAGCAGGGCATCTCCCAACAGGCTATGCAACCAAGGTTCACAATTGTGAAGTAGTTCGCCAACCTGAAATAATCAGAGAACCAAATCACTGATGAGTCGTCACAAACACAAGGGAGGCAGCAGGAGGCCTGTGAGCTTGCATTACAAAATGAGTTAGTGAAACAAGTGTTTCCTGTGATTTCTTGGACACAGCACCTCTGCTGACGGGCCCATGGGAGCCTGAACCTTCTACTCCCAATCACTTTTTTAGTACAACTGAAGAACAACCCTCAACAATCTTGTTGCTTATGCAGAGAGTACTCTCTCTCTCTCTCTCTCTCTCTCTCTCTCTCTCTCTCTCTCTTTTGCGCACGCATGTAAAATGTACGCTGAGGCACCCAGTTTAAGTAGTGCGTAGTTAGTGCACTCCATAATTCTTCTACTCCATGATGACAAGACCGGAAGGTCTCCACGACTGACAAGGTGAAGCTGAAACTTAAACTGAACAACGGATGCCAATGTGCTCGACACCGGTTTCGCCTTCTGTCCGCTTCCCTCCCCACCACTGTACTCGGATTATAGTCATAACGGGTGTCATCTCAACTTAGGAGCCAACTTGTCATTGTGCAAGTTCGCATTGACTACTACCATATAACGCGAGGTAAGATGTTCGTTCTTTCGTGCACTTTTGCACATGTCCTGATGGGCCAGCAAAGGCCAAAACACATTGGGACATGACCAGCCATCGCGGATCTGTGTACTAGCCAGTAGTGCAGTGCTCCAGTCTGCATTTAATTTTAATCTACTAGCCAGTAGTGCAGTGCTCCAGTCTGCATTTAATTTTAATCTTACCCTTCTCCCCTCCCACGTTGATATCTCTCCTTCGCTCTCTTTGTTCTTTTCTATTCTCATTCACATCCTGTTCTCGATCTCTTCACTGCTCTTCAACCTCTCCTCACGCCGTGGTTCTCACTGTCCAGGGTCTCTTATCACGTTCCTCCTATAAACACCCTCGTTCGGCATGTAAGAGACATTGAAATCTATTACAATCCTCATTTCCATGCAATGCATGACTCATCTTAATCCAGAGGGGCCATCTGCGAAAACGGCAACATGCTCTACATACAGAGCTATGCTCGGTACAAAGACAGCCACCCACTTCAGCTCCACCAATTAATCCACTCGGACAAATTAGTAATACTAATTTATAACTAGATGACCTGTTGCGGCTTCACTAGCTAAGAAAACAAATATAACAGAATTCAATCGTCGTGGAGAAAACTGATCGACTCTCTCTCTCTCTCTCTCTCTCTCTCTCTCTCTCTCTCTCTCTCTCTCTCTCTCTCTCTCTCTCTCT